GGTCTCCACATGGGATCCGAACCCTTGGCGGGAGCGCCACCACACTCCCAAGTGGCGCACTCTCCAGTGCACCGCCGGGCCGGCCCATTCTGTGGGTTTTGACAAGTGTACAAAGACACGTGTCCATCATTGTAGTTCCATACAGGATAGTTTCACTGCCCTAAAAATCCTCTGTGATTTCCCTGTTTATCCGTCCTTCTCTGCTAAAACCTGACAATCGCTAATCTTTTCACTGTCTCTGTAGTTATACATTTTCCCGAACGTCGTATTGTTAGAATCATGCAGTATGCAGTCTTCAGACTGGCTTCTGTCACTTAGTAATATGCATTTAATATGCATTATGTCTCCACATCTTTTCATGGCTTGATAGCTCATTTCCTTTTAGCTGAACAATGTTCCATTTATGGTTTCCTCCACATCTTTTTTTTTTAAAGATGACCGGTAAGGGGATCTTAACTCTTGACTTGGTGTTGTCAGCACCACGCTCACCCAGTGAGCCAACCAGCCATCCCTATATGGGATCCGAACCCGTGGCCTTGGTGTTATCAGCACCACACTCTCCCAAGTGAGCCATGGGCCGGCCCTCCTCCACATCTTTTCATGGCTTGATAGCTCATTTCCTTTTAGCTGAACAATGTTCCATTTATGGTTGTCTGGTGTTTTTTTAATTTATTTTTAAAAATTTGTTCCTCTGTTGCCTCTGTGTAGCAACAGGGGGCTCCATAGAACAAAACCCATGATTGTTCGAAATAACTTTTAGGATCCCACTGGAAAGCAGTAAGCCCCAGTCTCCTACCTGTGTTGTGTTCCCACTGCTTGGGTTACCCCTCTGCGTGTGGGGTGGGGGGCGGGACACTACATTCCTACCTTGCTGGGGCTTCTGGATAACCTTTCCAGAAAGAACCAAGAAGTAAACGTGACCTGCGTATTTCCAAGTGTCAGTGTTGTAGCTGTGCTGAAAACTAGCCCCTGATTTTCCTCTGGGTGTGTTGCAGTACAATCCGCCTCAGTAAGTGCAGCCTTTTTCTCCTTTCTCTTCAGTGTCAAGAGGTTATAGAGACCTCCCTGAACAGTGCAAATCTTCTCGCAAACGATGTGGATTTTCACTCTTTCCCGTTCAACGCCTTTGGTAAAGGAAAAATCAAGAAATGCCGAACCAGCCCAGACGCTTTTGTCCAGCTTGCCCTCCAGCTGGCTCATTACAAGGTAAGAGCCAAGAGCCTGGGATTTGTCAAGAGCAACTTCAGGCTCCTACACATGCGCCCAAGGCTGTTCACACAGTGGGTAAGGACGGCCCGAAACCTGGCACGGGAAAGGGTGGCTGCTGGCGCGAAAGCACAGCCTCCTGGGTCTCTGTGGGTGGTGTGGCATGGAGCGGTTCCACCATGTCCTGGGCGTGAGTGAGCAGAATCTCTCTTGCACAGGAGTAGATTCCTTTTTGACACAGGAGTGGGAGAGTCTGGAAGATGGAAGCAAAGTGAAATCTCTTTGCTCTACAAAAGGGAGAATTAAACCTTAAAATAAACCCCACATTCTAGGATTTGGTAACGTGGAAATACTTAGGGCAAATGACTTAGCATCCCTCACCTTTGACATCCCCTTCCATAAAAGGGGAAACTGTGAGCTCCTTGGAGGTGCCCTGGGCTGGACAAGGTCCCTGGCTACATGCAGAGGCACGTGCTATTTCCATCTCCTTTCTCTGAGCCCTGGTCACATGTTGACATGCACGTGACAGCTCCTGTCAGAGCAGCCTGTGCCCATGGGAGGGTGTAAAGGGGACTTCTTGCCAGTTGGAGGGAGCATTCCACTCCAGGGGGGATGCTTGGTTTCCAGGGCAGTGGAAGTCATTGTGGTATCGGCTCAAGATAAGCCCTGCTTTTAACTAAGAACTTTTATTTTAAAACTTGAGATTGGAACCAGGAAGGCTAGTTCCAGAACCTGTGTCTTTTGCCACAGTACTGCGGTTAAACTGACAGATACACAAAAAAAGAAAGCATAGGCCAGTTACACTCATGAGTGTAAATGCAGCACCCCTAAGTAAAATATTAGCAAATAGGATCTACCAGTACAGGAAAAGAATAATGACCAACAACTCCGTATACCAGCGATGGGAGGATGGTTTAGTATTAGTAAGTCAGATAATATATTAAATCATATTACTAGATCAGAAGAAACCAGATGGTCATTTTGACATATATTAAAAAGACACTCAAAATTTAAGATCCACTTTTTTTCTCTTTCTTTCTTTCTCTCTCTCTTTCCTTCCTTCCTTCCTTCCTTCCTTCCTTCCGTCCCTCCTTCCCTCCTTCCCTCCTTCCCTCCTTCCCTCCTTCCCTCCTTCCCTCCTTCCCTCCTTCCCTCCTTCCCTCCTTCCCTCCTTCCCTCCCTCCCTCCTTCCTTCCTTCGTTCTTTGCGGTCTGTTTCTCTCTCTCTCTCCCTTCTATGTTTCCTTCTTTCTTCTAGCCCACCTATGTCCCTCCTGGCCTGCCCTGCCACTGCTGTGGTATTTACAGATAGTAATTCTGCATTTTACAGAAAAGTTTCCTGACTCTCGCTTACTGTATGCAACGTCTAGAAAGGATAGATGCAAAATATTAGCAGATGGTGCTGTGAAAGTTGATCTGTATTTCCTTTTTTAATTTTTGTATGTTTTTGCACAAGAAGGTATCACAGTTACCCTCAAAGAACTCAAGCCACATTTTCAAAATTAAGGATCATTTGTTTTAACAGCTCAAGTGCTTGTGTTTATTCTTTGCTCTCTGGCCAGAAACAACCGGGTCCCCTTCTCCAAGATCAGTTATTCATATAACACTCCATCTACTAAAAATGATCAGTCCATTAAAGTGATCTATTAAAAATATAAATCAGATTCATTTATCAATTGTTTTTTATTGTGAGGTTGGTCTGGTGCCAGCTCTGTTAGGAGAGCTCTTCACTCAGGTAACTTTTAGGTCCATCTCAACCCAGCTTAGCTTCAGGGCCTGCCTGGGGAGCTGCATAAGTCCAGAGCCCCTGCTGTGACCCTCTGGGTCTATCTGTTCCAGGCTTCTGAGCCTTCTTTGTGCTCTGGACCCCTTGGGCAGCCGGAGAAAGCCTGGGCACCCTTTCTCAGGCTAATGATCATGAAGCGTAAAATGAAACACATGGTTGCAAAGCTAAGTAATTAACGTGCACATGTCAAAATATTAAACATAAATTTGTGGTATAATAAATGCAGTTCTTTATTACTAAACAATAAGATCAGTGGCGGGTCTGATAATGGCTATAATTTTGAAGTAGTGATGAGTAGAGTGATATGTGGAACTAGATATCTACAACAACTATAATTTGATGTGAAAATATCTGTGATTTTCTATTCAGAGTCATAGGCACTGCTCGTAATTACCGTGATTTGTTGCCTGTGCTTCTAAATGCCGTCTTTCACTTTGAGGTTACTGGAAATTAAGAAATACATGTTTTTCCCAACCAAGTTCACCTATCCCCAAGGTTAGTAACTGCTGGTGTGGTCTCTGTCTGTCCCCCTAGCCTTCTCTAATACTTCTTTTGGCCTCATTCACTCTGCTTCTGCCATACTGGCCCTTTTTTTTTTTTTTTTTTTGGCAGCTAGCCAGGATGGAATCCCAAATCTGGACCTTGGTGTTAATTAACAACCCTGTGCTCTAACCGGCCAGCCCCGCCACGTTGGCTTTTTTTGCTGCTCTTAAATACGCCAGGCACGTGCCTGCCTCAGGGCCTCTGCACTTACTCTCCACCTGGCATTGCTGCCTCCCGGGTGGTGGCGTGGTTGGTTAGGCCAGTTAGCTGCTTAAATGCCACGTCTGCTGTTTACAATAGCCCCTTCCCCCTCACTCTATAGATTTTCCTGTGTTATTTTTTATTCAGTGCACCTGCCATGATCTGAGGTCACATATTTGGTCATCGTCTGTCTCTCCTGCTAGAGTGTTTGCTCCTTGAGGGCAGGGATATGATCTATCTTGTTTGCCAGGAGCTTGCCAGCCACAGAGCAGGAGGCATCCATAAGCATGCATTGAATGTGACCCAGTGAAGATGCTGGGTAGTGGTCGTAATTCTAGCTCACAGCTACTTGCTTCCTGTTTGGGGGTTGTTGGTTTTTTATTGTTGTTTTTTTTCCATTTTGGAAACTAGAGATGAAAAATTGCCAGGTCCCACCAACCTGAAGAGTTAGCTGCGTGGTAGGAATCCTAGTGTGTAATAGGTCTGTGTTCTAATACTGTAGATGTCGATATCTTTTTTTTTTTTTTTTTCTTTTTTTTTTTGTCTTTTTTACTGACCGGCAACGGGATCGCAACCCTCAGTGTCGTGCCCGCACCGCGCTCAACCAGTGAGCGGGCAGACTTTCCTGTGTTTTTTTTTATTCAGTGCACCTGCCATGATCTGAGGTCACATATTTAGTCATCGTCTGTCTCTCCCACTAGAGTGTTTGCTCCTTGAGGGCAGGGATATGATCTATCTTGTTTGCCAGGAGCTTGCCAGCCACAGAGCAGGAGGCATCCATAAGCACGCATTGAATGTGACCCAGTGAAGATGCTGGGTAGTGGTCGTAATTCTAGCTCACAGCTACTTGCTTCCTGTTTGGGGGTTGTTGGTTTTTTGTTGTTGTTTTTTTTCCATTTTGGAAACTAGAGATGAAAAATTGCCAGGTCCCACCAACCTGAAGAGTTAGCCGCGTGGTAGGAATCCTAGTGTGTAATAGATCTGTGTTCTAACACCGTAGATGTCGATATCTTTATAGTCTCTGTCTTTGGATTCTGCTTCTTGGAAAATGTGGTGGCAATGAATGGCCAGGGATGGCTGGTCATAGCAGGTTAAATATGCTGTAGGCGTAACCTGGCTTGGCTCTTTGATGGGGTCTGAGCTTAAGCAGGGCTCGCACTCTAATAGTCAGTGCATTTGCCAAGAGGTTTTTGAGATGATCATTTTTTTAAATGTGGGTATAATGCATGATTGTTCTAACAACTTATACAATTAAAGTTTGACACTAGAAAATCGACTTCAAATAAATCATTGCATCATATATGTCAAGGTAACCTTTATTAATGACCAAAATAGGAAATTTCTACTCACCCTTCCATCTGCCTTCTCTCCCGCCTGCCTTCCCCACTTCTTCATAATGAGCCCCTTTGAAATAACCTGTAACGAGGAGACTGTGGGATGCGGGGTCGCCTGTGCTTGCCAGAGCACAGAACACAGAGAACAAGGCGTTAGCGCCCCTAGAGTGCCTCTCTGACCCATCCTGGGGAAGTTCATGACGGATGGGTCAACAGGAGAGCATTGTAGGTTGGTGGCTCCCGTGGAAGCCGTCAATGTGGAAAACTGAAGGCAGGAGACAGCCGCCACCGCCTGGGGCGCACACTCCTCACCCCGCGGCTGCTCGCTTTTAATCGCATGTCATGCCAGCCCTGGTGGCCCCTGCGGGCCTGCGGGGAGAGCCCCTCAAGACAGCCAGCTGTGCTGGGGAGGTCTTGGGGGCTCAGCAGGGTCCTCCCCGAGGCGCTGTTCTGCTCTGGCTTTTGGTGCGCTTTCACGGTCTTCAGATGCTTCCCTCTGCGGGGCTGGTTGGGTGTCTGATCACAGCAGCCTGTGGCGTGGGCGCTTCCTTCTGTCTGCCAGGGGCCTCCTCCCTGCAGTGGATAGCGGCTGGGCTGTAAGGAGCCTGCTGCACACGTCTAAGGGATGAGCGGGTCCTGTCTGCGGGCAGCCAGGCTTGCCGCCGCAGTCCACGCCGGTCCTGAGCTCTTTCCACTCCTGATGCTGAGCCTTGCTCAGTCCTGGTCCCAGCACACACCGCTGCTAGCTCATGGAAGCCAGGCCAGGCGCTGTCCCTCTCAGGTCTGGGTCGCAGCCCAGGAGGTCCAGCCTTGCCCTTGGCACCCTCTCCTGGATTTATATGTCAGCCTGTCACACAACGTCCTCTGGAGATTAGCTGCTCTGTCACCCTGGGGCCACCAGAGCCTGTGTCAGGGCACACCCTGACACCCAGGGACGTGTCCAGTCAGGGATAATTTGGGTCCCCAAACTGTTGCTTATCACTTTCCCATCCATACTTGGAACCTTGTCATCTCTGAGCCAGCCTGGGTGGTAGGACGCTTCGTGCTCCCTCGGCCTCTGTGTCTTCCTCTGCCGGCCGCTGCTCCCATCTGGAGCCCACCTGTGCTGCCGCGACATCTCCAGGGCTCAGGTGCTGCCAGCTCCTCCTAGTCCCAGATGCCAGTGTTCCTTGACCCCAGCGGGGCCTCCACCCTCCCCTTCCCTGTGCCCTTTCTTGTCTTCCCTTTTATCCTCTCTGGGCGCAGATTCCACAGCCTCCTGTAATTGTCCCTTTCCGCGGCTCCCTGGCCACACTCTCTCCTGCCTGGCAAGCCTGGCGGAACCACCCTGTTAAGTCCACTCTCCACTGCTTTGCTCCTGCTCTCGGGAAGCCGGCACGGCTGGAGAAAAACACCCAAGCTGCCGACTCATCTCACTTTAGATGAATGAGCACTGACTCCAGGGGGCCCCCGGAACCCACTTTTCCATGCCCCTAAGTGCCACCTCACACCCCTCTCTAGCTTGCAGCACCTCCTCCCCACCTGCCCAGAAATTGGAGCTTTCTGAAGAAGCCTTCCATCTGCCTCTGCCAGCCACCCAAGCCGTCCCCTCCTGTCTAATGAGCCACCCCTTCCCACCGTCCTGCCGAGGGACGTTCCTGTGCCCCCATCCCCTCTCTCTGCTGGATCCATCATCCAAACACGATGGAAGAGCTCCCACCAGTACCTCGTGTCTCCGAGTCATCTCACGCTGTTGCACGCACACCTCCCTGCTGGGCACCGTGTTCCATCCACACATGGTTGGGGTAGTGAGACGGGATTCAGTCGAGGTGTGTGAGCCTCAGCCAGTACCTCGTGTCTCCGAGTCATCTCACGCTGTTGCACGCACACCTCCCTGCTGGGCACCATGTTCCATCCACACATGGTTGGGGTAGTGAGACGGGATTCAGTCGAGGTGTGTGAGCCTCAGGAATCTGTGCACTGGCATCAGTTGCATCTTGAAAGGGAATCCCAGGTTACCCCAAAACCAACCCTGACCTCCCCCAGCCCTACCCAAAGCTAATGACGTGTGTCTGCTGCCAGGTGACCAACCACGCATAGAAACTGACGACAGCTAAACACGAAAGCTGACCCTAACCCATGCACGCTGCTGACCTCACGCAGTCATTGCTTGTGCTTCACATGTCACCAGCATGGCCCACCTTGTGCTAAAATCCTTCTCCCCTCCCAGGACATGGGCAAATTTTGCCTCACGTATGAGGCCTCCATGACCCGGCTCTTCCGAGAGGGGAGGACGGAGACCGTGCGCTCCTGCACCACCGAGTCCTGCAACTTCGTGCTGGCCATGGTGGACCCGGCCCAGACGGTAAGGTGCTGCCCAGTGGCGGGCACGAAGCACTCCTCATCAGAGGAATCTGGAGGCTGGCGCTCCAGCTTCTCTAATTCCATCATTCGCTTACCTTCTGCTCCAGTGAGGCCGTATTCCGCGTGTCCTTTCCTCCCCTCCTTTCAAGGGAACGGGAGGTACTAAAGGTAACGAACGGTAGGGATGTGTTCAAAGAGGTCCGTGTTATACCCTGTACTTCTGCACATCAGGGTCTTTCAATTAGAATGGTCCACAGCAAGTGAGTAAAGGAATAGCCAGGAGGTGCTGCAGAACAGTACACAACGTTGGTGTCAGGGCCAGAGAGTGGTGACCATTGCACAGGAACCTTCCATTCGGGGTTGTTAAAGCCTGTGGCGACACTGGGGCCATGCATGCCAGGCTCGGGGATGGGGTCATCTGTATACCCCTTTTACAATCCCTGTGGCAGCCCTGTGATACAGTCATATTGGTTCATTTTCTTTTCCTTCTCCCTTTTTTTCCCCATTTTTTCTTTTTCTTTTTTCATGTTAGAGGGTAAAATGCTGATGTCACAAGGTTTGAGGGAGGCACACCTCACGCCGTAGTGTGACAGCCCAGTCATCATGCTCATGAACCACAGAAGGATCTGTTCATTTTCACAGATACAGAAACAGAGAGGCAGGAGAATTTGGCAAACTGCTGGGCCACCCGACTAGCAAGTGGCCGAGGTCAGATCGGTGCCCAGGTCCACCTGATCCCAGAGCATAGGCACTTACCACTGACCAGCCGAGGAGACCAGGGCTCTCTCTTCTGCAGAAAACCTCATTCTGGAAGGGCTGTCAATTCTGTGGAGAGGAATCGGTTGGTGTGGTGACAGATGGCTCAACTCTATCATTCAGCACCTTCAAAAATGGAGGCCGTGGCGTTGCCCTGATTTTGTGATTTCTGTAACAGCCCAAAAGCACCTAGAGTGGCCTTTTTGAGTCAGATTTAAAGGCCCCGGAAACACTGTTTTAAAAGAGTTCCTAGCCAGACCGCTTTAGAGGGTTATTGACAACTCACAGTGACATTGTGGTGAACTGGGAGGGACAGAACTTTCTCTCCAGCTGATGAGAATTTGCAGCCTGAGCTTTCCTGCCTACTTAGCAATCTCATTTGTGTAAAAGATGAAATGACGCTGGGCAGGCGGGCTGCATGGAGGACCCCAAAGGTGCTTCCACAGCAGCCCTGGCTGCCACATTCAAGGCACGATTCTGGGGCAGGGGTGGGGCTGGTGGTTGGTGGGGCTTCTGGCAGGACGCCTGTGCTTGGTCGGGGCACTGGAGAGAAAGGTACAGTCCCTTTCATTTTGATATGTAGATGTGTCCCGCACAGCTTGAAACGTCCGATGCATATCCTTGCCGTCCCGTGTCATTTAGGTGGAACAGAGGCTGAAATTATTCAAGATGGCATCTGAAAAGCACCAGCTCCTGTACCGCCTTGCCATGACAGGTGCTGGCATCGATCGTCATCTCTTCTGCCTTTATGTGGTGTCTAAATATCTCGCTGTGGACTCCCCTTTCCTTAAGGAAGTAAGTCACTTCTTCCCGTGGCAGCCCTCTCAATTTTATCGGCTACACCAAAACCTAGCAAATTAGGACAGCCTAGCAGTCGGAACGGGTATTTAAAAAATGTGTCTGTGGGCATAGCTGTCATAAAAATGGAAAATCTGAGCTGCAGTTTTAGTACTGCATTTCTTTAATAACCTGGTATGCTTTGCTATCAGATTTACCCACCTTAAACTCTTAGATAACAGTAAAATGTTCTAAAATAATTGGGAGGTGATGAACTCCGAGTGTCAGTCCTTTGTAATAAAATTTGTTTTATTGTAAGTTTATGAATTTTAATTTTTAATAGTGGCTGTGATTAACAACCAGCTTGAAAAATCCCTGAAAATGTTGCAGTTGGCTCATGAGCTGATACTAGTCTGACACTGCCAGCCCCACGCTGAATCTTCCTTAATGTATCTGCCATCTTCTCTGGCTGGTATTGGCACCCCCAGTCCAAGTTCCCTCACCCACTCTGCATCCTCTCTGCACGTGTACTGCCCCGAGCCAGCGAGGCATTAGGGAACATAGGCTTCTGGCATCTAAAACGGTCAAAAGACCAAGCAAGCATTTTCTTGTTTTCCCAGGGGGGTTCCTCGGGGACAGAAGAGAACAGGAGTAGGAAGACTGTCATTTGGACATTTCCTTATTTCACTCAACAGGTTTTAGCTGAGCCTTGGAGATTATCTACCAGCCAGACACCTCAGCAACAGGTGGAGCTGTTTAACCTGGAGAAGAACCCAGAGTACGTGTCCAGCGGAGGGGGCTTCGGACCGGTGAGTGCAGCAGGTGTCTTTGACATACACAGAAGGATGCGATGTGCCCATCCACCACGTTCATGGCCCGTCTTGGTTCTGAGCACCCCTCATTACTATGTTGGCATATCATTACAAAGGAATTCCCGCTGATTGTTTGTACAGATGTTCATTGGCAGTCTTGTATCTAGAAATGTTATGAAGTTCCTTTTTCACGTGGTCTCATTTCCCAACAACAGATTTAAACTTATTTTGTTCTGTAGGTTGCCGATGATGGCTATGGTGTGTCCTACATTCTTGTGGGGGAGAACCTCATCAATTTCCACATTTCTTCCAAGTTTTCTTGCCCCGAGACAGTAAGTATGAAAAGAAGTTCCTTTTTCTAAAGATGGGGTGTTTTTAGTTTTTTCTTTTTAAGGGAGCACACCTTTAATTTTTTTTTTTTTTTTTTTTTTTTAAGATGACCGGTAAGGGGATCTTAACCCTTGACTTGGTGTTGTCAGCACCACGCTCAGCCAGTGAGCAAACCGGCCATCCCTATATGGGATCCGAACCCGTGGCCCTGGTGCCATCAGCACCGCACTTTCCCGAGTGAGCCACGGGCCGGCCCAGCACACCTTTAATTTGACAGAAAATTTCAATTCAGTTATCTACTTTTACTTGGTTTGGGATGTTTTCTAATAAATGAATTTCAGAATTCTCTTAACCTGGTTTTTTTTTTTTGTCTTTTTTTTCCGTGTCCGGCAACGGATAGCAACCCTCAGTGTTGCCCCCGTACCGGACCGGGGACCGGCAACGGGATCGCAAGCCTCGGCGTTGCTCCCGCGCCTCGCTCAGCCAGTGAGCGGGAGCCGGTCTGTATGTGGGATCCGAACCCTCGGACGGGAGCACCGCCGCGCTTCCCAAGCGGCGCACTATCCAGTGCGCCACCGGGCCGGCCCATTAACCTGGTTTTAAAGAAGTATATCCTATTTGGTTTAACATGCTCACCTCTGCTGGTTGCCGTGGTTTTAGATCTTCGTGTTGGAATGCTTCTGTGACTTTCAGCTCCCTCTAACAATTGGCAGGTGGACTAAGAATAGTGCACACAGGCTAAGACACAAACACATGGCAGAGCAGGGGTCCACGGTGTCCTTTGTGAGTGGAACAGGTGACCTCCTTCCTAGCATGGGACGTTTAATCCTCACTTATATTCTCCTTCCCACATTGTACATAGCCTGACAAGCAATGTCAATTTCACTGTTAACAGAGGAAATTGGAATTCATTTGCTCACTGTGACAAACACATAAACTGTCAATCTCTGTTCCCCTAAACATTTCACCAGAATCTGTAAGTTAGTTATTAAGCCATTAGGTCAAAATTCAGAGGATTGGCAAAAAAGAATTTGAATTAAACTTTGAGT